TGACCGACCGCCTTTAAGACAGCGAGAGCTGTGATGGCTGGGGAATCCCCTGGTGGTTTGATAGTCAGCTACGGCTGGCTGACAGTGGCAGAACTTGGATAGCTTGGCTGTGAATTAAGAAAGAAGCACAGCAACAAAGAGAAACATGCTATGACATTTTCTAAATATTTACCATAGGGAGTGCAGCCAGAGCAGACAGTGAATTCTAACTGCCCTCCTACATTCTGCCTGGATTACTGTCTCCATCCCCAGAGCCAGAGATATTCACCTACTGGGGCTGTCAGAGGGAAGAAGCGTCTCTGTGATAAACCAGGCAACTGTGTGGGATGGGATGACACCGGCACACAGCTCCTGCATGCATTCCTGCTCCAAGATTTCGTTTCTAAAATACAGGAGTAGAGGAAGGCATTTGGCCTAGCGGTTAAGCAACCATGTCCCACATAGGAGTGCCTGGGTTCAATTCCCAACTCCAGCTCCTGACTCCAAGTTCCTGCTAATCCTGGCCCTGGGTGGCAGTGCTAACAGCTCAGGTGACCGGGTCCCTGCTACCTACATGGGAGACCTGAATTTGTTGCTCCCTACTTTGGCCCTGACCCAGTCCTAGATATCACGGGGCTTTAGGGAGTAAACCAGTGGATGGTAGCCTTCTCCCTTCTTCCCTGCCACTTCCCCTCTCTTCCGGCCACCATCACCTTCCCTCCCTCCTTCTCTGTCTCTGAAAAAAAGAAGAAATGTCCAAAAAAAAAAAAACACAAATATTTGTTTGTAAAGATTGAGTCAATACAAACCACTTTCAAGTACTTTATTCTACAGTATCCTTTGTACTATGTGTTTGGCTTGTCTGAGGGATCTTCTGCAAGTTCATGGAAAATGAGTATTATGAAAAAATTGTGCATAGTTTTCCAGTCTGTTTTTGCACCAAAATAAACTTATGATTTCTTTTTCCATGAAATTTAAAGTCCCTTCATATTATCTGAATGGTTTCAGAACTTAGTAGCTGTGAACTTCCTCATTATCAAGTCAAATTTCTCATTGGCCCACACACAGCAGTTATTTTCACTCCTGATACTCCCAAGTTAATTCATAAATGCTAATCTTCAGGTCTAAGGCTGTCAAAAAAAATTATGGCTAAGGGGCTGGCATTGTGATACAATGGGTTAGGATGCTGTTGGTAATGTCAGTGTCCTAGAGTGCCAGTTTAAGTCCTGGCTGTCGGCTTCAGATCCAGCTTCCTGCTAATGTGCCTAGGAAAGCAGTAAGATGAACCAAGTACTTGGGTCCCTGACCCCTGTGGGAGACCAGGATGGTGCTCCCGGCTCCCAGCTTCAGCCTGGCCCAGCTCCGCTGTTGCAGCCATTTAGGGAGTGAACCAGCAGATGGAAGACCTCTCTCTGACCCCCCCCCCCCACTTTTGTCTCTCCCTCTCCCTGTCACTCTGTCTTCCAAAATATATCTTTTTTAAAAATATGGGTTACAAAGAAACACATTTTAATTACTTCAAACCTCCCACAGGTCATATTTTCTACCTTTTTAGATCTTGGACAGAAGAGTACAATTTTGTGTGTGGCTTTGAAATTTAAAACAACATTCTTCATATGAAATTTGGTGATCAAGCCTGGATTAAAATATATATCTGACAGTCCCAACAGATCCCCAAAGCCCTTCCCCACTTCCCTAGAAATGCCACTAATTATGCATGTTCAGTTATCCTATCTCTGGTAGCAATACACATTCCTGTCCTATAAAAATGTGCACACCTGTACACCTCATCTAACAAGCAATGGGCAGACTACAACAGTTTATTGTGTACCAATATTTTCTCTCTGGCCTATACCCAATAACTTATTTTTCCAGATTTCAGCAAGATGAAAGCCTTAGAAAATAAGGTGCTCTCATAGCTTCCCCCAAAGGAAAGAAAATCTCAGTATTTGGATTAAGCAGAACTTCAGGAAATCAATCACTTTGGCCTTGGAAAGAGGGAGAGAAAAGCAACGAGCTGAGATGGTAGGAAGCATGGAAGGCACAGGTTACAGCCACACAGACACAAGCACGTGAACTGTCACCTCGGCCCAAGAACCACCAAATGGGAGGCTGGGCTCGGTGACCTCCCAGGTCCCTCCCCACGCCAAGAAGTGCTGGTCTCATGAATTGTTAATACTCCTCCTCTGTCTTATCGTACTGTCCCTGTACATGATCAAGCCCTTCTGGCCACTTGCAGGACTGAAGGGAAAATTTGCTTAAAAAAAAAAAAAAAATACAGGCCGGCGCCGCAGCTCTCTAGGCTAATCCTCCACCTGGGGCACCGGCACCCTGGTTCTAGTCCCGGTTGGGGCACTGGGTACTAGTCCCGGTTGCTCCTCTTCCAGTCCAGCTCTCTGCTGTGGCCTGGGAGTGCAGTGGAGGATGGCCCAAGTGCTTGGGCCCCTGCACCTGCATGGGAGACCAGGAGGAAGCACCCGGCTCCTGGCTTCGGATCGGTGCAGCACCAGCCATGGTGGCCATTAGGGGAGTGAACCAATGGAAGGAAAACCTTTCTCTCTGTCTCTAACTCTGCAAAAAAAAATTATAAAAAAAAAAAATCCAGGCTTTGACTACTGCCCAAATGACAGTTCTCTCCTTGAAACAATGACCTGAAAATACTGGGAAAGGCTAAAAGCCTCTGAGCAAATATATGCCCTGTGCTGTCTCTGGGCAACATCTTTCAAGCTTCTCTGATATCAGTGAAATTACTGGAGGTCCCGCGAGTGAACACTGGGATTCTAAAAGACAACACTGCAGCCAGATCTTCCCAGCTGGTATTTCTGTGCCCCCTGGTGCAGCTCCAACCTTAAAAACAGGGTGGAAACCAACAGCCGAATTTGAATCACCAGCTGCGTGAAGTGAGGCAAATTACTTAATCTTCTGAACCTGTTGCCTCACTTTACAAACGCTGCTGCCGTGAGCTACCTTGCAAAGTTACTCTGACAATACTCTGAGCATCCATTTACTTATTCATTCCCTCGTTCTTTCGACAGAGCTTAGCCAGGACCAGGCAGGTGCCGAGCTGGGCGTGTGCCTCAACAGATGGAACAAGTGAAAGCTCTTACTATTACCATTTGCTCCATTTGTGTCCAGACCGCAGCACAAAATTTCCATCCACACCTGGTTTGCCTAAACAGCCCTTTTTATGTTGCCAAGCACGATCCCAAGTGGGAGCCTAACTCCTGCCATACCTCTGTCCTGCCCCCCACCCCCACCCCACTAGCGCTCCTTAGCTAACAGGTGTCCTGCCGGCCATAGGACACCTTCAGAACACAGGAAAGAAGCAACGGGAGGAGCACGGGACGGCATCCCAGCTCTGCACTGGGCAAACCACTCCGGAAAACCTGATATGCCTGTGCTCCAAGGCCGGTGCCGGACGCCTGGGAGTTTTCGGGTGCTTTCAATTCCAGGAGTGGCACACTGAGTCTTCCGAGAACTCGAGATTAATAGAACCGGCTCATCCCCAGCCCTGGCCATGAGGCCACCAATGGGCTAACAGCAACAGCAAAGGGGTCTACAGCCCACGTTTCCGTCTGGTGAGGTGGATGTCTTCCAACTGCGCTTTGCTCTAGAGTTCCGTTTCATGACCGGCCTCAGGAGCGAGTGAGGGTCAAGGGTGGTGGGCTCTTGGTCTGTGTGTTTCTCCATCATCTCCCTTTTCCTAGCTGGGTCAAACATCTCTGGCCAAAAACAAGCCTAGCTGTGTAAGGGCACGTGGACAAACATTTGCACTTATTAAAAACAAAAACAAAAACAAAAACAAAAACAAAAAACCGTTTTCGATGGCATTCTGGAACCCAGGGCTCCCAGCAGAAGAGTCTGATCCTGGAATAGTGACATGACCTGCCCCGGGCCACAGCTGGTCAAAGAGGAAATTCTAGGATAAAATTCTGACCCCTCCGGGAAGCTAAGTATGGGTCAGGTGACCTTTTCCAGGCGCCTGAGATTGGACCTAAGACTTCTCTTTCAGGGGCTACCTGGATCCAGATCGTGACTACTTACACGCATGGGCTTTGCACGGCTGCCTCCCGCGCCCGAGGTGACACAACAGCTCCTTCCCACAAAGTTCTCGCTATGAAGAGACTGCCTGTCTCTTCTCCCGCGCGGCGACCCACCCCACCCCCCAAACTGGACGCATCGAAAATTTAAATTTTCACGAGAACAGCCCTTCTTTTCGTCTCCACTGAGCGAGTCAAGCGTGTTATTATTAACTCCTGGCGCCTTTTGGGGGAAAACAGAGGTTTGGGTATTAATAGCTAGAAACCAAGGCCCCACCTGAGGCTGGTTGTCACGGAAACCGTCCCGCAGCCCCGCAGCCGCCCGCGGGGCTGGGGAGTCCGGGTGAGTTGGTGGGAGTTGGGGATTGCGTTAAAGCTCCCGTTTCCTCCACTTTCTGCTATTTCTCAGGGCCAAGTTGGCGGAGGAGGAGCTGGCGAGGGCAGAGTGGACGGCAGCATTGTGGCGGCCCCCGAAGCCGGGCCTGGGGTCCCCGGCTCCTTCTTCCCTCTGCGCTCCGCTCCTGGCCACTCTGCGCGTCGCTCCCGGCGCCCTGAGGCCCGGCCCCCTCCGCTGCCCCGAAATGTCCTCGACCCGGGCTGCGCGCAGCCAAGTTGCAGAAGAGGCTCAGATCAGCCCCAGGACGCAACCAAGGCAGCGCCGAGGTGGGACAGGCTAGAGGCAGAACCCCCCCTAAGCTCCCGGGCCGGGTCCAGAACACGCACTGCCCGGCGCCCCGCGGCGACTCCCCACGGTCCGGCTCTCCAAGGTTAGCGCCCAGCTCGCCAAAGCGCCTCGCAAGCCCGCGCGGGTTCCCGCGTCCCGGGGTGATCGCTGCCGCAGCCGCCAAGGCCTCCCGCGCCCCGCACCCCTCCCGCCCCACGCGCGGCCCCCGGGGCTGGGTCCCCACCCGCTCCCCTGGGCCCCGCGCTCGCGCACTCCCACACAGCCCCCTCGGGCCGCCGGGCCCTCCCGGGACTCACCTGCGCTGGGGCTGAAGCGGCGGCCACCCGGAGCCCGGGGGCGGCGGCGGCAGCGGCGGCGGCGCAGGGGGAGGAGGGCAGCGCGGGGCTCCTGGCACAGCGGCCGCCGGGCGCCTGGTGCTGCCGAGCCGCGGACCCGCCCAGAGATATAAATAACATTATCTGAGGAGGGACATTCCTGCCGGGGGACATCGCTGCTGCCGGGACCAGATAGTCCCGCGGCGGGGGCGGGGAGGCGGGGCTGCAGCCTCCCGCAGCGCCAGGCCCTGCCCCCGCCTTCCCCACCCACTCACGCACCTGCCAATCAGCCTCGGCGCCCTGGGCACCTGCCCGGCCTCCGCCCGGCTCTGGGAGTCGGCCTCTGCCTTCCCGCCCGTCGGCCCTCGAGAATTCCTTCAGTCCCTCTTCCTTGTGCCATATGCGAACTCCAGCGCCTCTTCTTAACGCCCTGGCGTGTCAAGATCAGCTTACTGCGGAGACAACTCTACCCTAATGGGTGCGTTTCGAGATGTCGTGCCTGACACCGAGAGCTGAGACCTTCTTTCTTTCCCCCATGATGCGTCCCCACTGCACACAGTCGGGCTTGTAAAATACACGAAAAGCCGCGCTTAGGCCGTAGGGTGGGTGGGTGGGCGAGGTGGGCGTCCGGCCGTGCGCCCCCGGTGCGGCGGGGTGGGGAGCGACAGATTGTTCTTGCGAGCCGGTGTGTGGAAAGCGCGTCCCCGCGCCGGCTTCTCCCGCTGGCGGTGAGAGCAGACGCTGCGAGCGCAGGGGGTGGGCACTGGGCCCGAGGCCCCCGCCCCCAACCCGGGCTCGGCGTCGCTGTCTCTGCCTGCAAACCCAGTGTGGTCCGGGCAAAGCGGACAAGGCTGGCGCGCGCACGTTGCGGGGACTCTAATCAACAGGCACCAGGGACCCCTACCAGCCCAGCGCGCGGCACCTACTGGCCTGCCCGGGTCTACAAGCGGGCAGGGGCCGCCCCGCTGCCTGTCCTAGGTGGGGTGGGGTGCAGTAGACCTGAGGAGACGCTGGAACCCATAGTGCAAAGGAGGAAAGGCAGGGCACCCCGGAGTCACCTCGGGAGAGAGGCTGACGCAGGATCGCCGGCAGCTCGCAAGGCAGTCCATTTTCTTGACTTTCTTAAAACCAAGGTCATCGTTCAGTAGGGTTGGCTGCAAGGCCTCGCTGTGGCTTCCATCTCTTCTCCACCTGCTGTGCCTGAGACAGTATCTCACCAGCCGTCCACCCAGGTGATGTCAGTGGCGTGGAGATTACAAGAGCAGAGATGCAGAGTTTTCCCTTTCGTTGGTGGTGCCTGGTTTTATTATATGTTTAGGAATGTAATTATGCTGTTTTCCAGGATTCGCCAGGAAAAGGGTGTTTAATTGCCAGATGTTCGAGCTTACTTTATATAATGAACGTATACATAGATATTTCACAGCCTGCAGCAGTCTCACTACTTGAGAGTGGGCATTGAGACACCAAGATGTGCAAAGTGGGGCAAACTTCACAGGTATTAAAAAGCCACAGAAGTCCTTCCCCCACCTTCTTCTTGCCTACGCCCTTATCACAGTTCAATTTCCCAAGAGACACTAGCAATCTAGGAAAGATGGTACAAGAACACACATGGCATCCATGAGATCGGCAAGGATTCCTCTACCTTTTTGCTGGTAACATTTGCAAATCCAATTGTTTCTTACTGAGTTTGTAGCAAAAGACTTTTTCATGAAAAAAATAAATCTATTGAAGGACGAAATTCTAGCAAGGAAAACTCGAGAAAAACAAGCCACCTTCAATAGCCGAGGCTGTTATGTATCTCAAGTAGAAAGCCTTGATCTATTTTTAGAAGAAAAAAATGAAGGGAAATTATGTATTTATGTCTTTTTTTTAAATCTTATGTGAACAAACTTAACTTCATGATTCTCTAGAACTGCAGCTATATAATTATATGCTACACAAAACAGATAATTTCTTAGCTATAGGTGTGTGGCATGGAATTGAGTAGTTACACACATAGTTTTCTTTGTAGCCTTAAAATTTATAATTTTCAACCATGAGAAAAGATTCAGATGATGAAAACCCCAAATCAGCAGATGGATTACCCCAAGATTTTACACACCAGCTCAGCTGCTTTTGCCATTTCCACTTGAGCTGAAAGCTAAATAATTCAATAAACCTCATTTGCTACAGCTTCTGTTATCCTGACAGCATCCCCCGATGCTTTGCGGCTAATAGAGTTACAGTGAAATGATAAATCAGAACTGAGGGAGAGAGGAAGTTTCAAAGTACAGAGGAAGTAGGCATTGTCCAGGGGAGGAGGGGAGAAGGAGGGGGAGCAGATCCCAATAGCAGGGATGGGGGGAGTGAAGAAGGAAGAAGCACAAGCTGATCTGAGGATTGGTTATTGAAGTCACTGGTGTGGGCTTTAGGACCCAGCTCGGCAGGGACCTCCTCAGAAGAGTGCGGATTGCCTCTGAGGATTCTCAGCTTCAACACTGGAAGGGTGGCCCTCATCCTGGCTGGCCAAGGGGCTCCCTTTTCAGCACTCCCACCATTGTGGATGCCCTACACTTCCAAGCCAGCCCAGGGGGTGTGCATCTGAGACTACAGGAGATGGTATAGTCTGTGGGAAGACCTTCCGGAACTGTCTACACAGCTCCAGCCAAAATCAATGGGTGGAGGGCCATGAGGATGTAACTCAGAACACTCACAGCATCTGAGTAGGAGGGGGCTTTCATTGTCCATTTCTGTATTTTCTGAATGGCTCAAAATAAACTTTATTATTATAAAGAAAACAATAGGTAAAGGGTGGATGGAGATGCATCACACATCTTTAGCCTCTTTTCTATTCCAAATTCCATTAAGAAAATGTCTTGGGGCCAGCGCTGTCACTTAGTGGGTAAAGCCTGCAGTGCTGGCATCCCATATGGGTGCTGGTTCAAGTCCTGGCTGCTCCACTTCCAATCCAGCTCTCTGCTGTGGCCTGGGAAAGCAGTAGAAGATGGTTCAAGTCCTCGGGCCCCTGCACCCACATGGGAGACCTGGAAGAAGTTCCTGGCTCCTGGCTTCAGATCAGCGCAGCTCCAGTCATTGCAGCCATTGGGGAGTGAACAAGCAGATGGAAGATATTCTCTCTCTCTCTCTCTCAATAGAAGAGAGTCAATAGCTTCTTTAATTCCACTTTTCCGTGGACTTTTGAAGCACCCCATAGCATCTCTGTGGTCATAATCTGGTACTGGCTGGTCTGTAGTTCACATTCTCCACCCACCCCCAACCTGAACACCTGCACTGATTGCAATGTGAACTTCCAACAATTCAGACTTTTACAAACTGATCCCAAACCATCTTCATCTCTGGTCACACTCCAGCCACATGGAACCACTCTTCATTCCCCAACCTTCTTTCCTCTACCCTCCTTACTTCAGTAAGGTGTTTGCTGTGGGATAAGGAAGTGGGGTGGGGGAGGGGGTCCTGAGACGCAAGTGGCAGAGCCAAGAAGCTAGAGATCCTTGGAAGTGACAAGGAACCTTTGTTGGCAAGGCATGTCCCGAGTCTCCTGCACAGTGCTTGAAACAGGCAAACCCATGCTCAGAGATGATCAAATGGCCCGAACCACCAAACATTTTGCAGCCGGGAGGGGAATCAATGCTGTGAAAGAGAATAAATAATAAATCTTTAAATTAAAAAAAATGCCAAACCAAACCAACCTGAACCTACCTGATGTTCCACTCAATTCCAGTCCTTGCTAACAATGGAGGAATCAAGAATTCATACTAACGCACAGGAAATGTCAGAATAGTGCCTAGAGTTCAACACACATTCATTCCTCCTTTTGCTAAACTCTGCATTCCATGAAACTACACTGAAACCCCCAGTCTATTTCTGGAAGTACCTGGAGGCATCACATCCTCCACAACTTTCAAAGACAAGCAGAAGGGCCAGTTCCCCAAAGCGCACCATTTACAACACAGAGGAGGTGAGACGAGGAACCAAAGTCTCACTTCCAGACAGAATGGACACTGGAAGGAACCTGAAAGCCCACAGCAGGATTGCAAAGATCAGACTGGCCTCCCTCGGAATGAGCAGCTGACACCAATCTCAAATGTCCCCCCACCAGTCACAGCTACGGAGCCACCTGGCCTCGTCTCACCCACTAACCAGGCTCCAGCATGATCAGCTCTGCCTAGCCAGCTGTTCCTGTGATTTCCCTCCTTTGCAGGATTAGATTTTCTGTTGCCTTGCGCAAGTTTGCGCAGATACAATGGCAGGTTTGTAGCTGGGTGTGCTCATGAACTGGTGCCTGTAGGTGGTAACATCCTAGTACAATTGCCTTAAAGTAAGACACACTGAGGGGCTTAAACAACAGCAATTCATTTTCTCACAGTCCTGGAGACTCCAAGTCCAAGGTCAAGGTGTCGACAGGGCTGGTTCCTCCTGAGGTCCCTCTCCTGGGCTTATGCATGGCTGCCTTCTCCCTCTGTCTTCATGTGGTCTTTCCTCTGTCTGTGTACTAATCTCCTAACAAAGACATGAGTTAGATTAGCTCAGTACCTGCTTTTCTGACCTCACTTTCCTCGGTTACCTATTTGTAGCCCTACAAATGCAGTCACTTTCTGAGTTCAGGAACTCAACCCAGGAATTTGGGGGACACCCAGCTCAGCCCATTACTTAAGCCTCATCTTTTCTGACATCAATTTCTTCCATAGCCTCCCAACTGGTCTCCCAATCTCCAGTTTCATTCTCCTTCTACATAGTAGGCAAAGTAAACTTTCTAGAAAAGGAAATCTGCTCATGTTGACATACTACTTAAGGATATCCAGTGACTCCCTATGGCCATCAGGGTGTAGTTTTAAGTATCTCAGCTCTTAGCGTGTTGCCCGACACCTATGATGCATTCCGTAAAGACCGATGAGTGAATGTGGAAATAGGTGAATGAATGAATGGAAAATAGAAGAGGATGCAATCTTGGTGAGCAACAAAAGTGATGGGTAATTCAAAGCCATTTCTATTTGGCTCAAAATACATGTTTGTGAGTTTTCTTCAGGAGATTCACTTTCCTGTCTGTGTGTGAATGAGGTTATTTAAATGAACTGGCATTCCTCCAGACATCACTGGCAATATGTGTGCCCAAATTTCACCAGCTTCTTAGCCATCTCAGTGGATAATGGATCCCAGACTCATCCTTGGGCAGGGGTCTTGCTCAAACACACCAAAGACTCAAACACACAGGA